ACAGCTGGCGGTAAATCACAAAATATCATTGTTATTGCTGTGGCTCTCGTTGTCAGCTTAGCCCTGTTGGTGATCATTGCTGCGGTGCTATACTGCTTAATGCGAAGAAAGAAGAAACAGAAAAAGAACAGCAATACTCAATATGTTCGTGGGCTCGAGGACTTGATTGAAATGAGGACTCGCACACACAGCGGAGGAGCTGAGTCCAGAGGGAACAGAGATCTGTTGGAGCTCGGTAATGAAAGGCTATTGTTTGTGTTCAATGTGAAAAGTTATAGTTTCCAAACTTGCGTCTTGTATGTAGGAGAATCGATACGTTCTATCATTTTGACCGGATCCAAAGAGCCAACAATGTATTACGACATTAGCTCTTAAAGCCAACAAGGAGGATAAAGACAATTCCATACATTTACAACGAATTATCAATCGGCAATTTCGTTACATTATCCTCCATACAGACAAGTAGTAAGTACACATATATGTACGCATTGCGGACCTATGTACCGTTTCTTCATGGCGCGCGCATGGCCAAAGAATCAGCTAGCTGCCTGTTATCTGACTTTTTCGAGCTAAGCCGCTTGTAAGACCAGTATATACTCGAGTAAGGCAATGAAATCACTGACAGGAGGTAATTTTTCGCAGGATCTTTCACGAGCTGTGCTGTTGATTACACTGATGAATGGGAGATTCCACGTGATCGTCTCATGACTGGCCAGAAAATAGGCGAGGGACAATTTGGTATGGTACTAGAGGGTACCCTAATGACAGGTAAGTACATCTATGGTTGTGGATGTATGGTTGATATCCCGGGAGGGAGCGTGCTTAGGGATAGAATTGGACCATTTGGTTTAGGAAAGGGGAATGGTTGGTTAACTCTGGTCAGTAATTAGGTCAGTACAATTCTAAAAAGAAAATATATGGGTTATTGACCAAGAGTGAGGAGGAGATGGCTGGACATTGGCAAAAGTCTCTTTTTGCGTATTTATGGACCGATACAGAGTCAAGGTCCATAAACACGCAAAAAAAAAAAACGAGGCAAGTATCCAGCCATCTTTACCGAACAGGCCTGGTCAATAAAGGATTTATGATATGGAGAAAGAACACTATTTTCTTGCGGGGCGCAGCGGGTGATCTCGAGCACTCAAAATAGCGCCATCTTGCCCGCTGGGGTAGCCAATCACAACGCAGGATTTAGTTCATCTTGCGCGCTCACGGAGCTAGCCTTATAACATCTCCTTACATCTGTCAGTACTGATCACAATTTTATGACCATCGCAGATGATGGGCCAATCAAGGTCGCCGTGAAGACGATCAAAGAGCATGCAGATCGTTTCGATTACAAGGATCTGCTTCAAGAGATGGAGATGATGAAAGAAATTGGTCAACATCCGCATGTCGTTAGCCTAATGGGCACGTGCACCACACCAGGACCGCTTTACATCATTACCGAATACGTGTCAGGTGGTAATTTACTAGACTATCTGCGGGCCAGCCGCCCAGATGATGAAACCTACGTCAACATCATCTCCACGCTGAGTTCACGTGATCTACTCAAGATCGCGCTGGACTGCGCTCGTGGGATGCACCACATTGCTGAAAAGAAGTTCGTCCATCGTGATCTTGCTGCTAGGAATATTCTTCTAACGGAAGAATACGAGGCTAAAGTGGCGGATTTTGGGTTGGCGCGAGATATTTATGGGGATGGACAATATGTGAAGAGTGGTGGGGGACGGGTTCCCATCAAGTGGATGGCCCCAGAGTCTATTCAAGATCAGATCTACACCACCAACTCGGATGTGTGGTCATTTGGAGTCCTCTTATGGGAGATTATCACCATCGGGGGATCCCCGTATCCCTGTGTTCCCGTTAATCTCCTCCTTACGAAACTCCTCTGTGGATATCGTATGTCTAAACCAGCACACTGCTCCGACGAGCTCTATGATTTAATGAAGACCTGCTGGCAGGTGGATGCGAAAGAAAGACCGACTTTCTCTGAAATTTGCTGCACCTTGTCGGAGATGCTGTCGGAATCGGCGCGTTCTTACGTCAACATTACTCTAAGCGAGGAGCGAGTAGGGCCTGAGGAAGAGCTGCTTGATGACGCGCATGAGCAGACAACCCCTGTTTGACCTTGTAATCTGTTGTTAATAACGCTTGGCGATGATTCATGTTTATTACACGAGGTGTGGCACTAAGCCACGAGAGAATAAGGCTGTAATAGGGCGAGCAATGATCTATGTTCAGATATAATGTAGATAGTATTTGTTTTTAAAAAAACACGTATTTTGCTTTGTTTCGTAGTGTTGTAATTAGTACATATACGGTTACGTTTGCTTACCTATATAACTTTTGCTAAGAAATGTGCCAATTTTGTACCATAGTTAAGTATTGAACAGTTTTAGAATGTAAATGAATAATTTATAATAAGGCTCATAATTTGATTTTTAAATGAACCAAACAATGGTAGGTTAATTAATCAGAGTGGTTCTTTTTCTTTTGAATTAGCATGTACAAATATCTAACTGGAGTCCTGAGAAGATAATAAAACGACAGACTACATTGGCATGTGACGCCGGATCTTTTCTACAACAGACCTCCGCTTGCCTTGTTCTTATTTTATGGTTTCATTTTTAATTCATTATTATTTCAGGCAATAAAATTAGCCACAAGAATGAGAACCAGAGACGTCTGAAGTATTTATTCTCCACTCGTTTTCCCTCTAACGCCTTCCTGTAACGAATGCCTAGCTGTTTTATCGTTCACTATTAAAGATATCCGAGATTATTTTTTCTGCGCATCCTCACTGCGCACATAAATCAAGTCTAACTGCAACGCAAATTTGTTCCCAGAGCCAGCGATCCTTTTGGCCAGCACAACGAACTCGAGACCTCTAGGACTTAAGGTGAGCCAGCACAATTCACAGCTGTTACTCTCTTTACGGATGCTTAGAAACCCTTATTGAAATTGAACGCATACGCGCAATCAGACTAGAACCAAGATTTTCTGGTTCGTCGAGAGCGTCGAGCGTTTGGTCACCGCTGACCGAATTGGGGGCTCTGGGAATGGGATTGGTCACACTTTCAGACTACAACATGCAGCGAGCGTGCGCACTTAGGAAGAAATATAAACAAGTCAAGGACTGGTAACCGGTTATATCAACTTTGCCTGCAGTTTATCCTAGTAAATGGTCGGTGACCCCTAAGCCCATTTTCGAATTGATAACTCTTTTTGTGGCAAAGCAGCTTGAAATCCCACCATCTTGTAGCAGTCAAGCCAGTGCAACGGAGGTAATAAATGGTTATATCTTCACTGCGCCACAGCAAAAATGTTCTTAACTATTCNGTTTGGTCACCGCTGACCGAATTGGGGGCTCTGGGAATGGGATTGGTCACACTTTCAGACTACAACATGCAGCGAGCGTGCGCACTTAGGAAGAAATATAAACAAGTCAAGGACTGGTAATTGGTTATATCAACTTTGCCTGCAGTTTATCCTGGTAAATGGTCGGTGACCCCTAGACCCTACTATATTTTCGAGTTGATAACTCTTTTTCTGCCAAAGCAGCTTGAAATCCAACCATCTTGTAGCAGTCAAGCCAGTGCAACGGAGGTAATAAATGATTATATTTTCACTGCGCCACAGCAAAAATGTTCTTAACTATTCTAGATCGAATAAGTAATCGTAACGCCATAGAATCTTAGAGTACTCTAGGCGCAAGCACAACGCGACGTGCAACTGGAATATGCAATTGAAATTAAAAAAATCTAATGATCTATTAGGATATTTCAGGTGTACTTTACGAGTGACGTATCATTGAATACCTAGAAATATTGCGGCCATTACATCAGATTTAAAGGCTGAATGGGATGAATGACAAGTTCACTACAAGAGGAAACGTTGTTAAATTAAACACGTGCCACATCTAATTAACGCGCAAACTAAAAACAGATCTCTTCTTACTAGTTTAAGTATTTATAACTTAGTTGTAACATATTTAGGCGATTTTGTCTCAAATTTGGACAATGACGTGCTCATGAGTTCTTCTGCCACAACATTTTGAATCTGCACAGAATCCAGACCGTCTAAGCTGTCGGTCACACTACATTCGTCATCTTTGATCTCGCACATCAAATCGTCAGAATTTGCCCGAACCTGTTCCAACTGAGCCCCCGAACCTCCCAAGTTGATATACGCCCGCCCGGTTCGTGCAAGAAATTCGTGTAAAATATTTGCCAATTCAGCAAAAGTGGGCCTCGCTTCCGCGTCTATCTGCCAGCAGGCTTTCATCACCTCGTATACGTCATCGGAGCATTGAGTGGGCTTCTTCATACGATAACCAATCATAAGCTTTCTTGCTAACAGGCGCGCCGGGATTCCTGGGTAAGGACATTCGCCAATCGAGATAATTTCCCATAACAGCACTCCGAATGACCAAACGTCAGATTTGGAGGTATAAATACGAAATCGTATGGACTCGGGTGCCATCCATTTCACCGGAAGTCTACCAGCAGTCGTGGTCTTCATGTAAACACCCTCCAATTGTACATCCCGCGCCAGCCCGAAATCTGTCACCTTTGCTACTCGATCTTCCGTGAGCAACACATTTCGTGCAGCCAGATCTCGGTGTACTAGGCTCAACCTGCTAAGATAATTCATTCCATTGGACACGTCCTTGGCAATTTTCAACAATTCTCGTTCATTCAGTGACGATGCAATGTTTATATAGTGAGGATCTTGACACCTGCTGTTCCTAAGGAAAGCCAACAGGTTCCCGCCAGAAACCAGTTCCATCACCAAGTACAGCGGTCCTTCCACGGAGCATGCTCCTAGGAGGCTGACAATGTTGGGATGGCTTCCGGCTTGTTTCATGATCGACAGTTCCGCCATCAAGTCTTTGTAGTCATGGCGATCCGCACCGGGTTTTAAGGTCTTAACAGCCACTTTTGTGGTCCCTTCATCTGAAAACAACATAGTAAGATAGCACATTTCGCTGTGGTCATTTCTTTATTGGGTCGGTCTCAGAATATCTCCTTTTATACCATGCCATAGAAAACGCAGCCAATTAGAATAGATGAAAGCCATTGTACTTCGACGGTATTACAAAAACCTTCCCATCATGCGCCGCGCGTATGTCGCATTGATTGTGTTGGCCACTGTATTTTCTATGGCATGATATAAAATAGTTATGCAACGTTCTGTCATGGTAAAGGCTCCTTTGTATACTGAGAAATACAAGTGACTCGTGGAATATTCCATGGTATACCACACCAAAAACGTCGCACGCATAACTGGTCTGTATTTGAATGGCTACGCTTACTTTAGTATTATAAGGAAATTTTCAAGGTAGAAATTTTTTAAAGGTAGAAACATCAACTCAGAAAAAAATTCCGAGTTCCAGATGGGATTTGAACCCACGACCCTCCGTGATCTGGTCGGATGCTCTAACCACTGAGCTACTGGAGACTCTATGGTGAGTAAGGGTGAAATGTGGGTCTTTGACTGGAACCGCATCGCGCAGTCACACAGCCAAATGATGTCTTGGCGCATATGAACTCACTTACTGCATCGCGCAGTCACATTAAGGCATATCAAAGATGCAACCAGCCACCCTCCAAAGTGAGTATTATAAGGAAATTTTCAAGGTAGAAATTTTTTCAAGGTAGAAACATCAACTCAGAAAAAAATTCCGAGTTCCAGAAAGAAAACACAAATTTCTACCTTGAAAATTTCCTTATAATACTCACTTTGGAGGGTGGTTGGTTGCATTTTTGATATGCCTTAATGTGACTGCGCGATGCAGTTAGTGAATTCATATGCGCCAAGACATCATTTGGCTGTGTGACTGCGCGATGCGGTTCCAGTCAAAGATCCACATTTCACCCTTGCTCACCATAGAGTCTCCAGTAGCTCAGTGGTTAGAGCATCCGACTAGATCACGGAGGGTCGTGGGTTCAAATTCGATCTGGAACTCGGAATTTTTTCTGAGTTGATGTTTCTACCTTGACGCTTACTTTAAAAGACGAACTTGGTGTTCTCGCTGAAGTGGTAAAAGGAAAGAGCTAATCTGTGTTCGTGAATTTAATTTCTGTTATGCTACATTTCCCATGATGTTCACAGTACGTTACACATCAGTAACATTGATTTCTGGTTATCAATTAATTATTTTTCAACACTGTTTGCTGTTCCAGTGAAACAGCGATGAATACAAGAAGTAATTACCTGAATCCCAAACCCCTTCCATTACTACTCCAAAGGCTCCCTCACCGATTACACTGAAGGTGTGCAACTTTTCTCGGGGGATTTCCCACTCGTCCACTCTATTGCCTTCCTCTGTCAAAGCAACAAAAGGTGTGTGATTGTATTTATCTTGTTATCGTCGTCTTGGTGGTCCCGTTTACAGCAGTCTCACAGGAATAATAAGGCCTAGTGTGAATTAATATTTCTTTTCCTTATTTTAGCTCAGTTGACGCCAGAGAAGAGACTAAACTAACAGAGTAAAGTGTTTCCAGACTTAGACTTAACCTATGTGGTTGTCATCTGCTCTGAACTGAGTTTTTGCTCTTGCCCTGCTCTCCTTTGTTCTTCCATTGGCAGTTGTCGTAGGAACAACATGGGGGAGGGGATATCCGCAGTGGTCTAGCTTCCCACAGAAGATACCCCAGGGAAATGACTCCCTATAATCATTAAAAGCAATAATTTTCTCGATCAATATAACTCTTACCTGGTGTACAAGCAGTATTAGTAAATCCCAGCTCATGAATTTTATGCAAGTCCACATATCGCCTGGTTGATTGTTTTTTCTTTCTTCTTCTCTCAGTAGATTTTTTCGCTTCTTTGATCTGTTGAATTCTTTTGGGAGCGACGCAGAAGATCAGCGTGCTAATGAGTGTAACAAATATTACAAGAGAAAGTGTTGTGGTAACGATAACAACCGTCTTACGATACTTGATTGAGTGACAGGTCACTCCGTCCCCATGGTAACCCTCAAGGCAAACACATCGATACGAGCCCACGGTGTTGATGCAGTCAGCATCGCTGTGGCAAACATTACGCGCTTGCACACACTCATCAACGTCCGAGCAGTTGAGAAATCCGTTGCCTTGGTAACCGGTTTTACAGGCGCACTGTGCACTGAGGTTGGAATAGGTAAGATATGCATTGTCCACACAAAGCTCAGACATGTTGGAGCAAAAA